GGGGTCTAAATTAGCTATTACCACTCAAGATAGATCTTGGAGTCATTGTGGATAGTTCTCTGAAAACATCTGCTCAATGTGCAGCAGCAGACAGAAAAGCTAACAATGGTAGGAACTATTGGGAAAGGGATAGATAAGAAGACAAAATATCATAACGCTACTATATAAATCCATTTTATGCCCACACCTAGAACACTGCATGCAGTTTTAGTTGTCCCATCTCAAAAAGCCATACATTAGAATTGGAAAAAGTACAGAGAAGGGCAACAAAAATGATTGGGGGTATGCAACAGCTCTCTTATGAGGAGAGATTAAAAAGGCTGGCAGTTCAGCTTAGAAACGAAAGAGAGGATATGATAAAATCATGAATGGTGTGGAGAAAGTGAATAGGGAAGTGTTATTTACTCCTTCACGTAACACAAGAACAAGGGGTCACCCAATGAAATTAACAGGCAGCAATTTAAAACAAACATAAGGAAGTACTTCTTCACACAATGCACCATCAACCTGTGGAACTCCTTGCCAGGGGATGTTGTGAAGGCCAAAAGTATAACTGGATTTAAAAAAGAATTAGAAAAGTTCATGGGCGCTAAGTCTGTCAATGGCTATTAACCAAGATAGCCAGGGACCCAACCCCATGTTCTGGGTGTCACTAAAGCCTTGGCTGCCAGAAGCTGGAACTGTATGACAGGAGATGGATCACTGGATAAATAGCCCTGTTCTGTTCATTCCCTCTGAATCATCTGGCACCAGCCACTGTCGGAAGACAGGATACTGTGCTAGATGAACCATTAATCTGATTCAGTATGGCCATTCTTACATTCTTAATTCTTGCTGAATGTGCATATTCAGAGAATCAGTGCAACTTCTGTGCTGGTAGATCAACTATCAACATGCTCTTCGAACTAAAGTAACTGTAAGAACAGTGTGAAGAACAACGAACAACCTCTCTATATGGCCTTCATAGATCTTACAAAGACTTTTGATGTGGTCAGCAGAAAGGGCCTTTTCCAATTCCTAGAGGGAATTGGTTGTCCCTCACTCCTCCCTTAGTTGCATTTGGATTTGATCTTTCCATGATTGCATGAAGGCTACAATCTAGTATGTTGGTGATCATACTGGTAGCTTTCAAATCCACAGGTGGTGTCAAACAGGGATGTGTTTTAGCACCCATCCTCTTTGGTATATTCTTCTCTCTGCTGCTTTGTAATACTTTCTCATCTAGTACCACAGGTGTTCATCTCCACACAAGATCAGGTGGAAAACGCTTCAACATTGCATATTTAAGAGCATGATAAGAGAACTTCTTTACGCCAATGACGCAGCGCTTCTCACACACACTGAGAGGAGCTCCAGCAGTTTTGCAATAGCATGCATTAGCTTGTGAGGAATTCAGACTAACCATCTGCCTAAAGAAGACAATGTTGTGTGTTTTTTGCACCAGAAGTTTTAATAGCTAGTACCAAGCTAGAAGTTATGCACAAGTTTTGCTATCTAGGGTCAATTACATTGGATACCTGATCTCTAGATGATAAGTTCTGAGAAGGGCTGCCACCCGCATTTGGTCAACTGACTAAGCACTTGAGCACCAAGATATGGGTCTTCCAGAAGTTCATTTTGAGCATGCTGCTGTATGGTGGCAATACTTGGAGCACCTAAGCAGGCATGAGAGAAGGTTAAACAGCTTCCACACCTGCTGTCCACCACCTATTGTATTTTCAATATCAAGTGGGGAACCAAGGTGCCTGATAGCAAAGCACCTGAAAAAGCAAAATTCTTGTTGTGAGTCAGCTTTATCTTCTGGCTCTGCTGCAGCTTATTGCCTACATTATCTCTTGCAATGACTCTCACTTTAGAAGTGGACTTTTTAGCTACTTGTGATGCTGCAAGCATGACATGCAGCAACTGACCTGGTTTGGCACTCACACCATTGTCTTTCAAGATGGAGGGTTGCCATGAGTGTTTTTTTTTTATTTTACACTAAGATCTTCACCAGTAGCTTTTTTCTAGCCAATTGCTTTGTCGAGTTAATTTTTAAAAAAATCTTCTAAGTGTTAAACTTTTTGTTATGGTTACGGTTCGTCTGAGTGAACTTGGTTATTCCACCTACTCTTTGCTTAAAACATACAATCTCCACCTCCAATCTAAACTACTGTTACTCGTGTAGGTCACTGAATGTTCCTCCCTCACTGTCCTCACAGAGATCATCTTATAAATGTCTGGAATCTGAAGCTAACTTGATGCATGCTTTCTGCCTCATCAGTCACATATTTAAAGCAGCTTTAAACAGTCAATTTTGTTCTTTAGAAAATCAAAAGAAAACCTTAATTGTCTTCAGATTAGAGAAACAATTGGGCTTTAAATCTGTTTGCCTTACAGTAGTGTGAGAAGAAGGGTGGTCCAGTGGTTAGTGTGCCAGCCTAGGACTTTAGAGATTTGGGTTCAAGTCCCTGCTTGATAGCAGACTTCTTGCATGACCTTGAGCAAATCATTTAGCCTCCCTATGCCTCAGTTCTCCTTCAGTAAAATGGAAAGGATAGCAATTCCTAACCTCACAGGGTGTTAGGAATAAATACATTAAAGGTTGTGAGGCAACCAGATACTACAGGTCACAGAAGTACTTTAAATAGAGCGCCCAGTCAGGGAGCAGTGTCCCGTTATGCTAAATGCTGTACAAATGCATAATGAAAAGATGGCCCCTGCACCAAAAAGCTTGCCGCCTAACTTCACACGTGATGTCAGTGGGAATGGAACCCATGGATGTCTGTGGGCCAAATTCAGTGACGAAAATGGTGGTGTCAGTTACACATCAGGTGTAAATAGGTCAGAAAACATGGATGTTCTGATTTTCTGGGGTTGGGGTGGGAATCGTTGGTGTAATTAACAATGTGGGGCTGGCTCTAGATGTGGCATCCTATTATTCAGAATTGTGTGAATAAATGTCTTCTACTGTCCCTCACAGGGCAAGCAAGGCTATGTGTCCTCGATTCAGTGTCCATATTCTCTTATACACCTTTCGTTTTTATGTTCTGTAATGGGATCAAATGTAGAATCAAGTTGTGTGGTTTGTGTGTGTATATATATTTAAATATGATTACTTGTGCATATTTACATATCAATATCTGTGTTGTGTATACAGATATATATTTCTCTGTGTCCCTGACTCCAATTTGATTTCACTTTGAGCCGTGAGCTGTCATTTGTTTCTCCAGAATTACTTCCTTGGTGAAGCCAATGACCGCTGTAGAATGAGAAACAGATCTTCTCCCTGAGGCAAGCGTTTGATCAAGTGACCATTACTTTCATTTGGAATTGGTGTAGGGGAATACCAAGTAGAACTACCCAATTTGGGTCAATGGGGAAGAATATTTCTTTTTTCATCTCCCCAACTCCTACTGTAATATGCTCATTTCCTCTTCTTAAGAGCTGGTTATCAGATCCCTTTTATAAGCATTTCTCTCCTTTCTAGGGGACTTCCCAAACATGTAAATGCTAATCTTTTACTTTGTGATGGTCAGAGTAATACAACTTTCAGCAGCTGGGGAGGGGAAGCAAACACTCATCGGGGGATGGTTGGATGGTCTAACAGGGCTTTACTATCTTGAACTTCTCTTTCATGGAATTATAACAGCGTACTCTTTGTTCAGTAAGTCCTAGCTGCTTTGGTTCTCTTACTAATTCCCAGTATTGCCAGTCCCAAATGTTTTAAAAACAACAATCCATGAGTTGGGTCCCCAAAAATCATGACTGGCTTAAACACAGAGATTTAAAAAAAAATTGGGGTAAAGACTCTTTTTGCCTTTTGGTTTTTGAGCCTTTAGGTTTCCTTGACCATGATTCATTTTTTTAAACGAAAGTCGAGTTTCTCACATAATCACGTGACTGCAGGAGCTGTCGCTTCAAGGAAAAGACCAAACATTGTGAGACTTGTGATAAAACCACAAGAGTTTGGCAACACTGATTTTGCCTGTAGAGCTAGTGACAGCCCTCTGAAATGCAGAGTTTGATAACGGCAAAATCTCTGTGACGTGACATAACATAGAGGTTTGGGGTTATCGTACTAGTTAGTAGGTTACATAGGGCTAGATCAGTTTATATAGCTTGTGGTAAAATGAGTGGTACTCTCATTTTTTGGTTGTCTCTGTTGCATATATTGCTTGCACTACAAAAGGTTTGCATTCTGAGTCTGGAATGATCTAAAATCATTCTTTCCTTCAAGAAAATTGGGAATACCTATGGAAATCAGGCAAGTGTCGATCAACTGGTGTAGGGACTGGGGCTGACTCCAGGTTCTGTAACTATCGAGCTGTCAAAGCTATTGTGAAAAATCTAAGTTGCTCTTGCTCACTTTGAGTGCTGTGGCAGTGTTAATTCCTAAATCCTCACTTCTAAGACTATGCCTAGAGCATCTTCTATTCTCAAAATACATCAGGTATCTTTGCTTAATCTGCTGCTCAGCAGACAACTGGGGGGTAATTCTGGTCTCCATATTTGGTCTCCTAAGGCTTGTCTATGCGGCGCTAAGTGTACCAGAAGGATGTGATTTGTAGAGTGCTCTAAAGTCCTGTGCTCTAACTGCCCCATGTAGACTCTGCTGGCATGTTCTAAAACTAATGTAGTCCCACGTTCAACAGGACTGTAGCTTTCTTTGGGGAGGCCTACAGTTTAGGTGAACCAAGCTAGTCTGAGATTTTGTTACTCCTCACTTAAATTGATGGGTGTTCTGTATTAGGTTGTCGGAAGGACAGTCCAAGGAAATTTGCATTGTTACTACTGCCACTCACGTCCATAATGCATGTAGCTAGACTAATGAGCTTGTTTCCAGCCTTCAATCTCCTATTATCGCTAAACAAAAACAATAGGACGTCGCACACTTATCTTTATTTGGTTGTTGCAGTCATTAATCATGAAGTGTTGACTTATTCTCACTAAGCATGAAAGTCGAGCCCAGATATCTTGATCTTGATTGATTTTAATTTATTTCTTTCCTCTCTCCACAGCAGAAGTTGCCCTTGCAAAATGAGCCAATTTCCTCAGAAGAGATCTATGGAGCCCCCATTGTCGGAGTGCATGAATTCCAGAGTAGACTCTTTGGACAGCTTGTCAATGGACAATTTTTGGCTGGAGGTGGAGAACATCAAACAGAGCACTGAAACTGAGCAAGAGGAGTGCAACCTTGCAGATGTCAAAACCCCAGAGGGTAGGTCACTGGGAATATCGGTGGAGGGAGCAATGGAGAGGAAAATGTATGTTGTTGGCAAGGTCCAAATCTCACTGGGTAAATTTTTGAAAAGTACCTTTGTACTTGAGTCATTTTGAACATGGGATGTAGGCTCCTAAGTCATTTAAGTACATAGGTACTTTTTGATAATTTTGCCTGGTGATTCCCCCCCAAAACAAAAAAAATCACCCTATTAACATTTTTTGTGGGGAGAGGGGTAAAGGGTAGGGGCAACTATTTGGATGGGGAAAAGGGCAAAAAGATTTGTGGTGCGAAAGAATTGTGCAGCAGGGTCTCGTCTAGAATTAAGGGACAAATTTTTAGCAGTGCGAGTGATTAACCATTGGAATAAACTACCAAGGGAAGTGGTGCCTTTAAGACAGGGGTCCTTTATGAAAGATAGATGGGAGCTCGAGGGTCAAATTAAAAGGTCTGACAGGCTGGACGCGGCCCGCGGGCCGTAGTTTGCCCACCCCTTGACTAGATCTAATAGTCCCTTCTGGGTTTGAAATCTACGAATTTCCCCATGACCTCTTACTTTCATTCTCTTTGGAACTAGTTTCTCCTCGCAGTCAGTGCAGCCCACTAGATGGCATTGTAGCATGAGCTCTTCAAAGCTTTGTGTAGCGAAAGAGAGTACTGAATGTTTTTTGCAGCTCATGAAGTGCAAAGGAAGAGTTTGGATTCCAGACTGCAGTTTAAAGCACTGCTAAGGCAGTATACACTCCAGGGCATGTTGTTGGAGCTTAGCAAACCATAAATAATAACCATAACCGAAACAAACCGAGGGCTATGCACAAATGAGGAGCTCCCCAAAATGCTGCCACAAATGAAAAATATCCTGATTTTTTTTCCTGAGAGGAAGTGGTTTATCTCCTCTGGAAAAATTAATCATAGAACTCCCCCACAGGCTGTCAGCAGGGCACTTGTATTTCATCATGCATGTAAGATGGCCAGGACCCTTCTGGTTACTTGGCTCTCCTGGTACTCCCAAAGCCCCTCATAAGTCCTTCTGTGGCACTGTGTGGGGAGGAAGATGGCAGCTTTCTCCATGCCTCTGAAATTGTATTTTAATCACAACCTGTTAATCGTGCTGCCTCCCCAGTCCTCATAGTTCAGGATCTTCAATGCTAGCAACTGCCCCAGCTGTCCAGTCACAAGCATGTAGATTTAAATGGGCATTTTTAGTAGCAGATCTTTTTCCAGAGAGAATATGATCAAATAAGAGGTCAAGAACTTGTGCATTGTAGAAAGCAGTGCTGGGCTGGCACTAAACTGAAGTTACAAAAATTGTGAGATTACTGAATCTCAGAAGTTCTTTGTCTTCTGCCCAGCTTGAAGCTGAGTGACGTTGCCATATGCCTAAGAAAGGGGTCTGTGCAAGGGAAAACCCTCTCCTCTTACAGTTTCTCTAAAACTTTGAAACCCATGTGTCAGAAATTTTCCCTTAGCTTTTGGGATTACAACATATATTAGTCCAATGCAGGATGGGCTAAATCTCTCTAGGTAATTCAGGGTAATATTCCTTTTTGACTACTATTTTTGGCTAAATTACATCTCAAAAGGTGTGTTCATGATGGTCAGTGTTCTCTTTAAATTCCCAGATCCATGTGTCTTCCTCAGTTACATATTTCCCTTCTCTCCCTGGGAATGTTTTATGTCTAGCACCTACGTAGCTTGGGTCAGCCTTGAAATTATTCTCCAAATTAAATCACTGAGGCCAGATTTTCATGAACCTGTGTACTGGACAATTCCTCCCAATGGAGTTTCCCAGAGAAATAACCAGTCATACTTGCTTCCTTGTATGCCAGCAGTAAATGTAATTTAGCCCAAGGTTATTAAATGGAATTATTTAGATGAATTATATCCAAGATACTTTGGATGCATCAGATAGGCCAATAGGTTTAACAGAAGACCATAAATCAGATACCTAATTAGCTGTGTGTCAGTTTTTCGTTTCCTGTTATGATTGGAATTGGAAACTTTCAGAGTTGCAAAAATTACACTGACATTTCTCCTCATCACTAAAATTTAATAAACGGAGGCCCTGTTGTGCATGCCTTGCTCCCACTGACTTCAGAGGTCAGGATTTTTGTCAGAATAAGGTGTCTAGTGCAAGGCTCTTTAATTAGATTTAGGCTCTAATCCTGCAAATACATGAGTAACCTCAAACACCTGAGTTCCCATTGAATTCAGTGGCATGACTCATGTGCACAGGTGTTTATAGGATTGGGGGCTTAATATAGAGCTGGCTGAATTTTTTTTGTCCGCTTTTTCCAGCAAAAATGGCTCTCTGACAAAATGGGAACTTTTTGCGCGCCCCCCCCCCCCAATTCATTTCATTGATATTTTTCACGGGGGGGTGGGGGGGAATTCTTCCTGACCAAGTTGAACCTCAGAATAGCAAATCTAGATGACAAAGCAAGTAATATTTGTTTCTGTTCTATTTTCACCAAGTTAAAAAAATAAGGTTTAGTGTGGAAAATATCTTGCAACTGTGACTCCATAATGAGCTGTCTCCTCTTTCTTCATTATATTGATTCTTTTACTTCAATATACTTCTTTTTAAGGCTATGTAATGAGATGTTAGCTTTATCCAGTTGTTAGGTGAATTTAACTTCACAAGGCTGGGGTATTTCCTATAAAAACATTTAACAGACATATGATATAATAGATTTGACAGTCATGGTTTGCTTGAGCAACTGTCCCAGGAGAGGAAATATCAGTTTCTGTCAGAGGAAGAGCATGAACAAATATTTGGTCTTCAGTCAGTTCAATAGTGATTTTTCAGCCATGTTTGTAAATGGATAAGTACAGAATGTCTGTGAACCTCCCTGTAGTGAATAAATGCAGTATGCAGAGACAGGGCTGAGGAAGAGAGGAGGTTGTATGGCATACAATGTATTAAGGCTGAAGCTACACATGACTATGTTTATCCTTAGAGTTCAAACAGCTGCCTCATTCACATAGCACTGTCTGACCTGCACATAGAATGAATTATGCAGGAAAAATATGGCATGTCCTCAGACTTGATTCATTTGCAGAAGGGGAAAGAGTTAAGTTTTTGCAGATAACTTTACGGATCCTGACTTCTGAGAGCTTCACTTTGGACCCATAACATGCTTTGACTGTAGTAGTATTTTTTTTTTAAATGAATATAGTTGTAAATTAAATACAGAACTTAGTTCTACCTGCATATTCATAGATTCTAGGACTGGAAGGGACCTTGAGAGGTCATCGAGTCCAGTCCCCTGCCCGCATGGCAGGACCAAATACTGTCTAGACCATCCATATAGAAATACTGCAAGGATGTCTGGGCCCACTTAAAATGTAATGGCAAATAAACTGTGGTGGTAAAAGAATAATGTTACTGCACCAAGATAACTGCTCATAAGAAGTTAACTAAAAGGTGATAAAATTGAATCCAGGCAGAGTCTGGATATATCCTGAGGTAAATCTAACTATGTATCTAGCTGTTAAAGGAACAATCTAAATAGTAAGAGCATAAAAGCCACCTAGGGAATATCAAGTGTTGTGTTTTAACAGAGCTTTTTTCTTGATTGTTATAGGAAGCCGTCGGATCAGATTCACTCCTGGAGTGAACTGATGCCGACCCCACTGCAGTCACTGAGTTGTGTGCTGCCTTATGCCAGGGCAGAATTTTGCCTAGGAAGTTCCTTTGATACCAGATTGTGGCTGGCAGCTGTGTAATGGGAGAGCACAAGTTTTCCTCCCCCCACCCTCATCCCCAGTGTTCAGCAATAATCGCAGTCTGTGCACTGTCAGAGTGTAAAGATTAGCCCTCAGTAGGGAACGATGTGACATTAGCTGCCCCAAAGAGGTCTTGGTGGTAGCAGGGCACTACCTTTTCTCCCCATGGCTCAGTGGAGTTGTCCAGCTGCAGAGAGGAGTTTATGTTGCAGCTTTTGCAATGGGCATGTCCCTCCCTGCCTCCTCAACGCTAATTGATAAGCCCAATCTCTCCTGGTGCCCACTGGGGTGATGTGGCTTGGATCCATCCCCAACCCAGGGCTGTGGCTCAAAGCCCTCTAGTTTTCATAAAACGGTAGTTCAAGAGAAACAATCCTTGAGGGATCCAAATGAAGTGAGCCGTTGGGATTTTTGGCATATCTGACTGTCTTTCTAGCCCTGCTTTGTCCCGACTGTATCTGTTAGTTCGCAGTGTTACCCTGCTTTCTCACAGACACTGCCTTTCTCCTCATCCCTTGCCTCTCAGAGGGAGAAGCCGAAGCTGAGTGGCTACAGGATGCAGGCCTCTCTGACCTAATTGGGGAGGACACCTCAGACAATGACAATATAGTGCTGCTCTCCACCTTGACCAAGACCCAGGCTGCAGCCGTGCAGCGAAGGCTGGATACTTACTCGCGGTCACGGCGGAAGAAGAACAAACCGCCCGTGCGTGATGTCAGAGACATTTTTGGTGTGGTCAACTCTGAGGTATGTTGCTTTACTGACTTCCAGAATATTTCCATGCATCCTAGCAGCTTCTTTGGCTTTCTGGCTCTGTGGGGTTATATAACTGTGAACTAGCAGCATTTCACCTTCGAGCCTAAGCGGAAGTGTATCTTGCAGAGTTTACGCCTCAGGGTTACAGTAAAACAATATTCTAGAACCTGAGGATTTAGAGACTTCACTCTAGTCAGTGTAGTGCTAGCGAAAGGTAGCAGAATGGCAGCTCTGTAAGTCTGAAGACCTCTCTGTAGCCACAGAACAGGAATGGTATAGGCAGCAGCAATACAAGTTTTCCAGCTACTCTTCTGCCAATATGCCTTAACACTTTTCGCGGTGAGGGGCTGTTTCAGCGTCCATAGCTTTCCTGCAGACTGCCAACAAGCATCTTAGTTAATGTCCTTTGTGGTGGGGATCTTTGTGATGTTCGATACTTGTCGACTATGTACTGGAGTAAAAGCCACTTTCCACAGCTTGCAGCACCAGTGACTTCTTGTTGTTAACTTTGTTGGCCAGATCTGAATTCATGACATGTTCCATGTATGACACACAAAAACATTAGTATTTTATTTGTATCCCAAAAGCACTTAGAGGCCACAGCTAAGAACATTGCCCCAGGGTATGCATGTACACAGTCCTCCGATAGCTCAGAGTCTAAGCCAGGGATCGGCATCCTCTGGCACGCGGCTCGCCAGGGTAAGCACCCTGGCGGGCAGGGCCAGTTTGTTTACCTGCCGACGCGGCAGGTTCGGCCGATTGCAGCTCCCACTGGCTG